GAAGTACAATAAGGACCCCATGTAGTTGAACACCACCATATTGGGTCGCTTTCTTTTGGCTTTTTGGTTCTGCTTTAATATATGGTAGTGTAACATAAATAATGAGGTCCACTCAACCTAGCTACTTTAAATCTCTCCCTAACTTTTTACGTAATCAGATTTTGTAGCCGACACAAGATATGGTTTTAGGGGCATTCATTGATATATTTGCCCAAAGTAGGATATAACGTATGTGTCAATGCGTGGTCTTCTCAGATTCTATTCTTTCTCTCTTCTCCGAAAAATGCCTTTCTTCCAAGCCTCGTGGAAGCTAGAAAAACATAGATTCTCTCCATTTTTCTACCCTTCCAAACAGAACTTTTATTGCTCTAAAAATGTAACTTGTGTTTCTGTCTGTGTCTTGTGTGAATTAAAAAAAAAAATTTTTTGCCAGAGAGAAATAAGATTGAACATCCTTATAACTTCTCCCGATTGGAGTTGCTGAGTTTCAGATAATCATGGTGTTGGGTCAGCAATCTGATGCTCAGAGATCAGATCTGCAAAATAATTGTTACGGTTTACCACATGCTAATGACCAGGCAGAGGAAAAGAGACAGAGTCCATCATCACTTCTGAGCACTGTGCAGGCAATATAATTTATTTATTTATTTTTAATAAAATGGAGACATTTATTGGATTTTGAGGCCGAACTGTGGGAAATTGATTCCTTTACGGTGAGGTGGCTGACAGTGTTGGATGCACAAAATTACTTCACCTAATTCAATCCACCTTCTAAAGCTTAAAATTTTATTGAATTTAATTAAAATATGAAAATAATGCTTATTCATCTTATTTATTAAACATGAAGAGAAATATTATTCTAAAATTACGTTATTTTAATAAATATTTATTTAAAAAAATTAAAATATTTTATTTTTAAAACATGAATTAAGGTGTTTTTTGTTTTTTTTTTATAAATTTTTTAAAGCTAAGGTGGACAAGCACTACCCCTTAAAATATAACCAAATAAATAAAAAGGTTTACTACTTATATGCCTGACTTTTTAAAAATTAAAAAGAAATTATTCTAAAATTATGATATTTCAATAAAACATCACAATAAATAACTAAAAATATTTTAATTTATAATTTAAAAATAAAGTATTTTAGTTTTTTTTTTCAATAAAAATTTATTAAAATGATATAATTTTTGGATAATATTCCTCATATATAATTTTTATGAAGTAAGATGGATAAATATTATTTCCATAAATTAAAAACCATTCACTTATTTATCCTTGTATTTAACTTTCAAGAGAAAATACTATTATATTACAGTACTCAAGACGATGTTAACACACCTATAATTATAAATGTAAAATATTTTTATTTTAATTAATTACTATACTCATTGATTCATTTAAGAAATAAAAAGATATAGAGTTTTAGAAAAAAAAAGTGTATTGCAAGGGTATAATAATAAGTTAAACTAAAAACATATGATAGTAATTATTGAAAATGTGATAATAACCTCGTTCAAGTACCTAGTATTCCATTCTTTTTGAAATAATTTTAATTTTTTTACTTTAAATTTATTTTAAATTATTTTTTATATTTTTTATATTTTTTTTAAATTAAACGGATATTTTTTTTTTATCTATTTTAACCCTATTATGGTAAATTCCAAAGAGAGAGAGAGACAAAGTAGTAAAAATAAAAGGCTTATCTCACAAAATTATTGAAGGAAAAGGAAGACTCACCACGGTAAAGTTGGCACACCTAAGCACTATATAATTATCAAGCTAACTATGGTCTCATAGATGGATTTTACTTAAAAGTTATTACTAGTTACTGCTTTGCAAGATGCATCACATTACTTTTTTATTTTGTTTTGCTAAGAGTATTATTCATCAAATTTAATTATCTTATTCTAATTTTTATGTAGAATTTAATTTAATAATTCTATATGATAAATAAATAATAATTAAAATAATTTTTGATTGAAGTGACATACTCAACAAGTATTACATATAAAAAATATATATATCAATTATGATCTATTTAGTAAATAAAATTATTTAGTTAAATCTTATGTAAAAGTGAAATTGAGACAACTAAATCTTATTATATAAATTATTTTGTAGTTAAATTATAAAACAT